GGCTCAAAAAAAAAAAAAAAAAAAAAAAAATCATCAAGGATCCAATTCTGGGTATGTGTTGTGTGACTGTGGGCAAGTCAGTAATCTCTCTGAGCCAGGGTTTTCATCAGCAAAAGATAGAAGAGCCAGCTGGAAGCTGTGCTGGGAAGCCAAGTAAGATCGTGCATGAGAAAGCCTCAGAGAAACCCGGCAGGCACTCAGACTGTGTGGGGAAGTGGGTTCACTGGGAAGGGTTCCCCCTGCACATGGCAGCGGGTTTGCACCCCGCACAGAGCTGCATCATTTTTGAACTGCAAAGAATCTTGTGAATTATTTAGACCAAAGCTTGTAAAGTGGGAGCTGATGGGCCACCTCCAACCTGAAAACACACGCACTCACTCACTCACAGTTACCAAGGTTAGGTATTTGAATTCTTGCTTTTTAAAAATGGTGTTCTGATCATTAAAGCCTGAATCTTGAGTGACTGAGAAACTGTAAGACTCACTACTGAGATGCTCACACCCACAGGACAGCACCTCGACAGGCCCTGCCTCCCCCTCTGATACTTCTTGGTGTGTTGTATTGCACTGTATTGTAGTTTGCTGGCCATACCGGAGGTTGAACCCAGGGCCTTTTCATTGAGCTACATTTTCGCCCTTCATTTATTTATTTATTTATTTTTGAGACAAAGTCTCATTAAATTATCCCGGGTGGGCTCAAACTTGAGATGCTCCTGCCTCAGCCTCCCAGAATGCTGGGATTACAGGTGTGAGTCACCTCACCCGGCTCCATGATGCTTTTCTACACTATGTAGCCTGCTCTTTTGTGTTTCCTGTCTGGGTTCCAGAAGCATGTGAGTTTATGGACCTTGATTTCAAGCAATCCCCTCCACCTAGATGAAGATAGTGTAGACAGCTGAGCTAGGTAGAAATATTATAGGCACTCAGATAGGCCTGCGCCCTCAGGAGAGTCAGTGCAGGAAATGAGAATTCATTACAACTGTGGCTGGAATCGCATCTGTGGCGGGTCAGGCCTCAAGATAAAGATGAAATGATCAGGCCTGAGATAGATGGTAACACCTGGTCTAATGAAGTCTACAGAAACATCAGTCACCCTGGTGGGTGCCCAAGACCCTCAGATTCATCACGTCCTGAAAAGTTCTTTGTTCTTTCCATGTGCACTTGCTACGTGATTTGCTTCCTCACTGGATCAATATTACCTAAGTGGTTTGATCTTATTGGTTGATTATAGCTGTAACCCATGTTGTAACCATGTGGCTGTGCTCTCTAAAACTTTCCCTGAGACGTGGGGTGCTCAGCAACCTATTTGAGCCCCCTCCTGCCTCTCAGGAGCTGTATCTTCCCCCCAATAAGTATTTCCTACTCTTACCCTCCATAGTTCCTTAGAACTTCTCCTTCAATTTTAGGGAACAGGAACTCGGCTCACTCGACACCCAGGAGGTTGGAAGTCATATTTCCCTTATATCACATTTGGAGGTCCTATTGTTATTCCGACATCAAAGACACTGAGGCCAAAGGAGGGACGAACACTGCCCTTCCTGCCTGGCTGCAGAGACAGTGCCTGCTTCCCTGCAAAGTGAGGCCCTGGATTCTACCCTCAGCACCCAAGAAAAAACAAACAAACAAACAAAAACCCCCAGCACTCTGCTCAGCAACTTGAAGGCCTGTTTTTCCCTCAGCACTTGCATCTCAGGTTGCCGAGGCCCGAGGCGCACACTATGGCTTCCGCTGGTGCGTGTGGCATGTTCTTGGCCTCACAGGAGGTCGCAGTGTTGAGTCCAGGGCTGGACAGCTCACCACGCCGTGTCACTCCACACCACTGCTCAGCTGAGAGCGCAGCTCCCCTGGATCCTGATCCTGAACCCGGCGCCAATAAAGAACTTTAAAAAGGCTAAGTTTAATATAACGAAAGATGGTGTATTTGCCGGGGAAAAAGATGGAAAAGAAAAGACAGACAGCTCCCGAGAGGTGGTAGGGACTTCAGAGCTGGAAGCCCAGGAGCTGTTGTCCTCGCTCCTTTCCTGGGGACTGGCGTCTTTCCATCCCCAGTGGGCGCTTGTTGCTGTCTGATCTGTTCCTGGGATTGTCTTTGATCCTAACCACAGCCTTCTGGCCATGTGGTTTCTTCCTGTGTCTCTGTAACAAGTAAGTAAAAGGAGCGCCCATTAGGAGGGCAGCTCACTTGGTGATTAGGTAGCTGGGACTGTACATGTGTGGACCTGGTGCAATGTTATACCTATGTTAAAGAGCGAACACAGGGCTGGGGATTTAGCTCAGCGGCAAAG